TGGTACCTTTTTAATGCGATATTTTCAATTTAACTCAAACCCGATGTCTTCAAATTATCATAAGTACCTACGTATATATATGTAGTCAGTTGGTATCTCACATTAAATTATAAAATTTCAAATTTATGTTAAAAACATTTCACAAAAAAAAAAACCTTCATTTACCTGGCGAATCTTCAAAACATTTCATAAAAAACTCCACATAGACAAATCAAAAATGAAATTCGCAACAAGGATTACTTTGAAAATATTTTTTTGTGATTATTTTTTTTTCGTCTGAATATTCAATTCATTTTTATGGAGTCATCTTATGACAACATCGGTGTTATTTTGATGTTTGCTTTCAAATTTTTATAATAATAATAAAAAACCAAAAAAAAAAAAAATTTAAAAATCTTGCTGTGCTTTTTTCACAATCTGTTCCCTATCTAATAAGATTTTCATTAAATGTTTTTGTTTTTGATACCTAAATGAGAGAAAGAAAAAAAAATATAAGTAAAATTAGATGGTTTGAAAAAGTTATTGGATTCCGAAGAATTTGGGTTTTTCAAGTACGAGTAGAATTTTTCTTTAAATTTTTTTTATTTTCTTTTTCAAAAGTTTTAACTTTTCAATACTAAACCAATCATAAAATAAAAAATAAATTTAGTAAAATATGGGAAATAAAGTGTTCCGACGTTCGAATTTATTTTACAGCTAGTTTCCTTGTGGCAAATCAAAAAGTAATGGAAATGGCGATTTCCCATCAAAAACGGGGGTTAATACTGTCCTTATAGGGCTAGGACCGTATATAACAGCTAAATTTTCTTTTATAAAGGGGGACTGGTGCCCTGTGGCCATTCTGGGTTTGACGCATAGGATCATTTGTGATTTGCGATCCAGTTACATGAACATTATTTTTAGACCCCTGACAAATTTTAGTTTTATGTCCATTTAGAGCCGTTAGACCTCCAAAGGCGTCATAAAGCCCCACCCGAAGCACTTTGGCCTTGACACATACTCACATAGAAAATGCTCTCATTCTCTTTAAAGTAGAGACGACACTGCTCACTCATCATCTTGCCTATCCTTTTGAGATGAACACAATATCCAGTGAACACTCCAACCACATACCTCAAGATTGAACGACTCAACGAGATTAATTTTTTTCCACTGACTGGCGATCAACAAATTTCTTTTAACCATTTCATTTCGAACCACGGACGCCTATATAAATAGATAGTTAGTAAAATTATCTATGAAAGTTCGAATTCGACGGATTTGTTCGTGATAAACAAATATATTTCGGGATTGTTATAGATATCTTGAAATAGGGTATTATTTTTAACCGACTGAATTTTATCACTAACTTACATTTAAAATTCTGACATTTAGAAATGGAAATACGTAAAGCTTAACAAAGAGAGTATAGCTAAGTCTTAAAACTGAAAAAAAATCTCATTCTCATATGATATGAGTTTCGGACTGTGATATTTTTTAGTTAAAATTTTAAGCTGATCTTGAGTATTTTACAACCGGACACCTTGTTATTTAAACTTATTTAGATATATTATAAGTATGTATGTGTATATATATTTTTTAGTGTACATATCGTAAAAGTTTTTTAAACGAAAAAATATTTATTTTCTCCCTTAACTAGAGAGGTTGGAGGAGTATTTGGTTTTATTATTTTTATTACCGTCTGTAAGTTTTGCTTTTGTAATCAGTGTGGTACACCAAACAATGTTTATATTGTCCAAAGTTCACATGAATTATTATTTTTTTTTAGTTTTATTTTTATATACCCTATTATCATATTTTGATCATATTCTTCATACATACACGTACACTTTTATTTGTTTATGGGTACATAAACTATGTATATATATTATGAATGTACGATAATATACCAATTCAGCATCTGCTCCTAAATAAGAAATTAGATTTTTATTTTTAAAAAATCGCAACTTTTTTCAAAACAATGTTTTACTTTTTTTTTGTTATACTTAAAATTATGAATATTGCTTACTATAATAATAATTAGATTATTATAATGAGAAAAGTGTGGCCATCATTCAATGAATTTTTTACTTATTTTCAATAAGTGGTAACTTTGGACAATTGAATGAACAAAAAACAAAGTTATTCTGAAAGAAAAAATCGGAAAAATATTTTACAAATTTTAAAAAAGCACAAAAAACTAAGGCCTAATCTCAAGTTAAAAGGGATTCTTTTTATCAGGGCTAGTTTTCTGCATTTAAAGGCCTATATCGCAGGATTTAATATTCAAATATTTTAAATAGTTCAAAAAATTTCTAAATATTAGCAAAACTCACTAACTTATTTCTTTCTGTGATAGTGCGTATAGTGTATAGTGCGTTTAGTGTCTCGGATAGTGTATTCCAATAGTTGTACCCTAATTTTTAAAAAAAAAAAAAAAATTAGCAAGTATGTCAGTATTAAATTTTTAGGTAACGCCCGTGGTATATTTAATTATTAATGCTATTGATTCACCAAATATCATTTTAGATTTTTATGCAGTCACTTGATTATAATTTTACATATACACTAAAATCAAATTCATATAGCTACATATTATTGTATAATAATAATAATGAGTTTTGTATAACTCTTTCGAAATTAATTTATAATATGCTGTAACATAATGTTATACATATTTGAATACAGAATTATGATTAAAATTTTAGAAAATAATATCTTTTTTAATTTACGTCAACATTATGAAATGTTAATAATTTAACTGCCACATTATGTCTGCACAAAAATTTTAGATTTTAATTGTCAAAGAAAAATCATAATACGAGAGAAAGATGGTGATTTTTATTTTATTATTTATTCACAAATTTATAAAAACAATCTCCAAAATTTTAATTAGATTAAAATTTCCACCGGTTAAAACTGGTGGACGAGCTGAAATCTTTAAGCTTAATTTCGAACACATTTCTCTGTACGTTTTAGAACTGTAATATTTTAGTAAGTAAATAGTTCTCACATTTATACACTTGATTAAATTTATATCGTGCATGTATACTAGAGTAAAAAAATGATGGCCAATGAATTGACAGCACAAAGTGACAAATTATTTTGACAGATGTGTCAAAATTTTTTAAAATTCATTTTGGCACAATTCCGTTCCGAGTTAAATTTTCTGTTTAAGTTCTAAGTTTTCAACTATCAAAGAAAGAATTTAGCTAACGCTCTCTCAGTTTTAGTTTACTTTCAATGAGAGAATTTAGCTAATGCTCTCTCAGTTTTAGTTTACATAGCTAAGACAAAGTGAAATAGCGCGTTGTGTAACGTAAATCGCCTAACACTGAGGCTTAGACACTGAATTTTGTACAAGTTTAATTAAACTTATCTACTGTCTCTAATCTTTGTTTATAGCAAAACAAAAAATACATAGAAAAAAATATGGGCTTAAGTGGAGGCTATCACGAAATCAATTCTTATTTCTTTTTTTTCTGCTGTATTAATAATGAGATTATAATTTATATTTGAAATTTTTTTATATCATCTTCAGCAAGAACCATTATAATGGTTCTTTTGTTATGATTCTATATTTTTTTTTGTTTATTATTTGATTTTTGTTATTGTACTCGTATTATTCAACTAGAACTCTCTCTCCTCTTCTCTCTAGGTAAATAAATATTTAGATGAAAAAAAAAAGTATGTTTTTTGTAAGAGTTTTCTTTTTTCTATTTCGGAATTAACCCAGACAATTTGTAGTGTAATTTTTTTTGGTTTGTGTTTTTTTTTTAACAAAAAAATATATTCTGAATGCTTGTATACATTTGGACACACTTGTATATTATTTGGTATATTAAATTGTATAGGATTTTGATTTTATTTTAAAAATATCCTTCGAAATTTATATTTTGTTTGTCTATATAATAAGAAAGAGAAAAAAAAACAGAAACAAAAACTCGAAAAAAGAAAATTCGTATTTTTGTTTTCTTATGGTTTCGGATTTGTTTTTCTCTCATTCTTTACAATATTGGGAATAAAATGAATGAACGTATTAAGAAGTTTTTTAGTGTATTCTACATAAGATACCGAATCAAAAAGAATCAAAATCAAAAATTAGAAAGAGAAAAACATCTGCAACAATTTTTAAATGTTTTCCAAGAATGAAAAAAGAAAAAAAATGATTTATGATTTTTTAAAGATTTGTTTTTTTTTTTTGTACTTGTTATTTTTCAACTCATTCTCTAACATATTTTGTGATTTATTTTGACAATCGTTTTGGGTATTAAAACTCAACTTATGTATTATAAAAATGAATAAAATAATAATCATCATCTGTGTGCAACAACAAAAACGAAAACGAAATTAAATTTTAGCCCTCTTAATGATGATGGTGGGGATAGTGATTACAATTATGGTATAAGTAGGTAGGTAGTAAAAGTGGGTTAAAAATTGTGTGATGGTAGCGTTTTTTTATTTTTGCTTACTTTAAATGAAAAGAGTTCCGGCCTGTTTCTCTCTTTTTTTGGTTACCGAGATTGAAATTATAATTGTTGAGAAAATAATGTCGAAATGGGGGAGCAGAAAATGTATAAGAGAACGAGAGTATATGGAATCAAATTGAGAGGAGAGGGAAAGAGAATGAGTAGATTGCAGTGCAACAATATTTTTCTAAAAATAAATTTTTTTTTTTTTAAAATTGAAAAAATTATCCGCTTAAAATTTTATTTTTTTTTTTTTTGAAATGGAAATTACCCAAAAAAAAAAATTAAATAAAAAAAAACCATAATAATAACAATAATAAAATAAAATAGAAGAGAAACTTTATATAATTTTTTTTTTTGTATTTTTATTATTAAAACGCTTGGAAAATAAGTTTATAAGGATCTCTTCTCTCTCATATTATTTTTTGTTATATTTTTCTCATTTTTTGTTAATAAGTTTTTCATGTTTATAGAAAATTATAAAATATATACATATATATATATTTTTTATTCACTTTTTATTATTATATTTTTCAATTTTTTATTTTGCAGGCTGCTGTTTTGTAACGTTTTTTACCAGGAAAGCTGCCTTAAAAGCACAAGATGCTCTTCATAATGTTAAAACTTTAGTAGGGGTAAGCAAAATAAGTATATTTTTTATTTCACATATATTTGTATGTTTAAGTACCTACTTGTATACATTACATACGTATATTTATATAAAACATATTATATTTTTATTTAATAATTTATAATATGAATTTTTATATTTTATGAAATGTACACTTCAAAAATTATGACATCATATAAGCATCATACGTCAAAAAATATCATAATTTATGCAAAAGATTTTATATTGTAATAATTATACTTTTATATTATAATACTGTTATACATATTGGTATAATAATATCATACATTATATATTATATAATATAATAGTATATTATATATTATAGGTATATGTATACATGTTTGTTATACAATGAGAAAAATAATGTGAAGAAAATTAGTAAGCGGGTAGTAATTTTGGAAGAGTAAATTGTATAAAGAAGTGTAAGAGTGGTACTCAAATAAATTTTAATATTATTTCATTACTGACTGCATTTCATACAATAAGGGAAGTTATGTAATGGTGCCAAATTTAACAGGTGGAGTTTTCGGCGGAAATGCTTTTCTTCATGCTAGTGAAGAAATGTCAGTTCACCAAATTGTCGGTCTGTCGGTCTGTGTGTTAACGCGTATATTTCAAGTTCGATTGATGAAATTTCATATGTAAGTTTATTTTGACTATGGCACGGATTGATCAACATTTTGAATATATCAGGCCTCGGAAACTGAACCTTTTTGTGGAGAAATTTCCGATTCTCTTGAAATTTGATTTTAAATTCAGGGTGTTAAAATAATGATCTTATATTTGAGTTCTGGTTGTTATACCGAAAGTAGTAGCTAGCAAACTTTTGCACGAATTCGAATGGTACATAGCGAAATTCTAGAGCCAAATATACATTTTTTCGAGTTATGTTTACTAAAACCCTACTAGTGTCCTTAATATTGTAACGAAGTGTCTAAAGCGCATTTTCATAATTTTCTGTAACACTAAACTAGACAATATACATTGCGTTCGGTCATGTGCTGACTATATCAGATTTTTGTTTTCTTTTTCATTTCTGAGAATCACAAAAGCTTAAGGGATAGAAACATTTTCTGTTACGATTAATATTAAAAATTAAATTTTTTGGAAAACATTTACGTTTATTTAAAAATTATTTTTTTTTTTCGAAGAAATTTAAAAAAATTATTTTTTAACATTTCGCATTACTTTTTTTTTCGGATAAAGCTTTTGCCTTTGACATTATTTTTTTATTTTATTTATTTGGAATATAAGTATAATGTGCGGTAGTTTTGGGTTCGGGTAGCGAAAAAATATTTGAGAATAAAAATTATTTAAAATATATTTTTAAAAATTATTTGTATTTTACCGTTAATGTTAATTTTTATTTTGTTTTTGCCAAAAGTTCTTATTTTTTTCATTTCCCTTGTGCCCCTATATCTAAGAATTTAGTTTTGGTTACATGAGTGATGAGCATGAGTGATGAGTGTATTAAATTTTGTTTATTTTATATTTTAAAAGTAACATTGTGGAAATTATAATTTTTGTGTAAGCAGATAATTTATTTATTCTTTTGGGATTACTTTGCTCTCAAAAAAATACTAAAATGTTGTTAAATTTTTTATTAAATTAAAAATTTAAATATTACATTTTAAGAGTTGCATAATTGTTATTCACAATATTTGAATATTGTTAATTCTATATTTGTGTATTATAACTTTGTAGAAGAAAAAATTTAAGAGTTTTTAATTCTTTGAGGCCCTTTACTTTATATACAAACCATGATTAATCAAGTATTTTATAATTTAACTAAATTTAGACTTAAAAACCGTATCATTGCAATAAGACGAAGCTTAAAATATTTCAATATTTTGACCTTATCCCATTTTCCGGTAGAATTTCAATATTCTATATAGAACTTAATAATTTGGAGGCTTCGAAATTATATAGTAGCATTGAAATCAATTTTTTTAATCGTATATCTACCTACATACATACATACATATATTAAAAATGTGTTTATACATGCATTTTACATTATATATTTTGCATTAAGTATTCTTTTCTATATATTTACCCATAATATGTAGGTATATTGCATGTGTATATTTGAATGCAAGTATAAGTATTGCTTTTATGAAAATAAATTGTATGAAGAATAATTTTTTTTTTCTTTAAGTTGATGCAAGCATATTTTAATTCCTCGTGGAAATATCCTACTTGAAATATATGAGAAAAAAATAAAGAAAATACAAAAGAGAAAATAAAGTAGTGTATAAGTAGATTTTGATATTTTTAAAAAGTTCTAAAATCTCTTCATCATATTATATAACTTATGTAATAGATAGTAAAGAAATTCAAAGGAATAATATTAAGAATATAAATAAATGCCAAGTTAACCTAATTGAAGAAGAATGATAGGTTTCATGTATATATATTTTTTGTTGTGGAAAAAGGGAGGAGGGGAGAGACAGAGGGGCCGTATTAATTTCTGAAATTTATTCAAAATATTATGTTATATAAATTAATCTTCTAAAAGTATTATATAAAATATTGTTATATATATTTAATAAAAATATAACAAACATAAAAATACTAATTAAATATAGAATCAGTTTTTAATTCGTTATAAATCTGAAATGTTATATCTGTTATATACATGATTTGAAATATTGTTATATACATTGTCATATTTAAAACATGCAATATACCAGAATGGATGAGAACAAAAGAAAAATTTTTCGATTTGGAAAATTCATTAAATTATGAAATTTAATAGAAACTTTTTTTTACGATACGGAATATTTGAAGGTCAGATGTAAAAATGGAAATAAAAAAAATATACCTGAAATTGAAGGCAGAAATATCGCTCTTAATATATGTAAGTCGGGGTGAACTATTGAATATGTTACGTACCCGAAACTATTTAACGTGATTTTGATATGACGATTGGAAGATCTTTGAATAGGGAAAAAGTAGATAGGAAGAAGATTGCGGTAATTTTTTGAAATTGGCGGGAAGTATAGTGTTGCACGAGTAGTGCTGAAATATACACTAAAATTAACAAATGTAATTGAAGGGACATCCAAAATATTATGAGCATACTAATTAAACATTCAAAATGAAATCGCAAGCATACTATAGTTCTACTGCCATAATTTAATTTACAATATTGTTTGCTTAAGAACAGAAAATGGCTCAATGTGTTCCTGAATATAAGCTTTGAAAATTAATTAACTACCTCGAAATTGGTAATTAAATTAATGTGAAATGTAACATTTTGCCCGAATTTCGTTCTTGCAATTCCATCACTTCAAAATATTTTTTTTTTCCCTTTTTCACTCCTAGGAAGAGCATATAGGGCTAGTGCATGATATCATGCCCTAGTTTCATAGCGTCATAGAGTTAACTAGGTAGGTGACTAGCCTAGGTAGGTGACATATTTGTATATGAATAAATGCTTAGTTTACAAACTGCAACCTAAATACGAAAAAATGATTAAATATTGTTCTACTGTGTACGCTACTGTTCTAAAAAATTATTAATAAAAAATTTTAAACTATACACTTTTCATGATTTCTATTTAAAACTTGTGAATTTAACCTTATACAAGTGCTTATATACATCATATTTCACTTACAATTTTAGAAACCACCCACCACCACAATTTTTAATTTATACGACATTAGAAGTACTGTCTAAGTGTCACACTTTAAATATTCTCCTTCTTATTTTTTTTTCCTAGAAACGAATTGAAAATGAATTTTAAAATAATAACAAATAAGTGCACATATTTCATTTTTAGAACATACTTATATTATATTCAGAAATTATTCATATTTAGAGAATTTGGAATATTAAAATATAAGTGGTGTATTATTTATTATTCTTTTAGAAAGACTAACATAATTACATTTCTGTCACAATTTACTAAAAATGAATACTGAGTAGAATCTCATAGTTTTGAAATTAAAATGAATATTTTACATATTTCTAAATTTAAATTTTATATAATCAAGGATAATTTTAAAAAGGAAAACTAGTGTTTTTTTTTTTATTTTGTCAAAATTAGAAATAAAATTCTAAATTTAGTACTTTTGGCTAATATTTTTACTATTGTATGTAGAAAATAGTAAATGAAAAGAGAAAATTAATACCTAATACTTAAGCATGTATAAATCTCATCCTGTAAATAGGCAACCACATGCAAATTCAATTATGTACACATTTATTTTCCACACGCCATTTTTTTTTTTATAAAATATACGATAATATAAATGCAAAAACATAACGGTTTATACACAAAATATATGTGGGGTATTAAAAATGTTAAAGGTAAATTGCAATTTAAAAATAAAAATTGACTAACACCCACGCTATTTTAAGAATAAGAATATTTAAAATTCTTTGTTTTTTTTGTTTTCACTTACAAAATTTTATGGATATTGACAGCCTCTAGGAATATAAAATTGAACAAGCTGTTTATAAAGTCTATAGTAAATGTGTAAGTCAACTTTGTTTATTTTTAAGCCGCAAAGGGTTTATTTGACAAACTTTAACACGACCGAAAAATTTCTTGAATAAATGACTCACAGCTGCTCATTTGTCGCGGTTTTTAAATATTCTCAAACTCTTGGAATATATAACAAACATTCGTGAAGGGTATATTCGTTTTGGCATGGAGTTTGTAACTACTTGAAGGAGTCGTCTCGGGTATGGACAGGTATATATATTTTTGGTCGACGTAAAATTCTGCTTTGTTTTAGATATGTCCGCCCGTCCGATCGTACAATAACTAATAATGAAAACGAATAATGCAATTGACACCAAATATGCCAATCGACAAGTTGTTTCTTTCCTGCCAAGGACAGCTGCTATTGTAATTGGACCCATTCGCATAACTGGTTCGGGTAGGTGCCACACAACTCAAAGAGGTTTTTTTTTAAATATTTCAAAAACTAATAAAGATATTAATATCAAATTTTTAAAAGCTGTATGTCAAATTGCATTTTACATATATTT